TATTACCAACAAACATTGACAAAGGTTCCGCCTTTCCCAATTAGATGGAATTAAAAACTCTCTTGCATATACTTTCCTCTTTTTTTGTTCCGATGTGAATCTGAACCTCTCGATTTTAAGAATAATTTCCTTTGTCAGATTATTAAAAAAATAAGTTAAAAACGCCATATCTATTTGACTAAAGTCATACAAGTATGCATGGGAATCGCTCTTAATGTTAAGGTTCCTTCTCAATGTGCAGGCTTTTTCTCAAAGATTTTGAGGGTCTGGAGTGTAAACGAGTTATGTTGGAATCCAAAATTTTAAAATTCATTGGTGACACATAGAAAATGTTTGTTTGGCTTCACAGTCAGATAACCTGATTTGCGGAATTATACTCTATCCTATACCAAATTAAATTCTTAGTCACTCCCAACCATCTATGGTTGTTTATATGAGACGGGAAACACGAGTTAACCGGCTGACTATTTTCTTCGACAACTCCGGGATTTCTTTAAAATAAAGATTATCAAATATTTTGTTTCCAATAGGTGTAAAAGTGTCTGATCCCACTGTTGTCTCATCGCCAAAGAAATAATTTCATGACACGAATCAGCCTGGATAGCCATATAAGCTAGACTGGGTCTTCTAAACAGCCCGTTTGGTTTTTTATAATTTTTGAAACTCATGCCAGTCTTCGTATTTTCATAATTTTCAATAAACTAAAATAGGCATTACATATACTGTACATTAATTTTACACAATGAACATAAGACGTGCAAATGAAATCAAGTTAGCCAAGGTATATGTGGAATATTTTGCTCACATTTGGCCATATTATCGCAACGTCGCATGTAAAACTGTTGTGAATGTAGTTTTTTCTACGTAGGAGATTCATAACCAGCTGCTACGAGCTCTATTTCATTTCACTTTCCTCATTAGTAGATTATTATATAGTCTTAAATCTTTTTGTAAGCCCTGGCAGAGGAACTTACATCTACTTCGCTTGCGTTTCAATCACGGAGGCGTTCATTTGAAAATGGCTCTTACTTCTGATGGCATCCCACTGCTTCTGCCAACATTTGGTGACGTGAAAACTATAACATTAATTTCCAGGAGAATTTGGAAAGCTATTCAGTGCACGTGTGTTTGTTTATTATGAAGGGCGAAAGATAGCCTTTTAGAGGGGGCGGTATGATGTAAGTATAAGTAATAACATGTTTTCGAGTGCAATTTGGATATAACATGCACGAGTGCGTTTTTCAAAGACCTCACAATAGAACGAGTCCGAGGGACGAGTGCTATTTGAGGTCTTTGAAAAACTGACTAGTGCATGTTTATCCATATTCCACGAGAAACCATGCCATTACTTATTAATAATTTTCATCATATATTCCAGACAATTGTAGTTTTAACTTACGTTTATATAGCGAACATTTCACTATAGCAACGTTTTTATGGCTTCGTTATATATCACATTATATACAACGCTAACAGCTTGAAAATTCCTCTCAACTATTATAAGTTTAGTTAGTCTTGTTTAAGGTGAAGGCTTTTCCATTTAAAAAATATTTAAAAGCCATATTTTCCAACCGAGGACAACTTTATGACAGTTTTGAAGCAATTTTTGACCGTTACTTCTTTAAACTAAATTGCTTTAAACTGATCAGTTGCCATGATTTTATCATCACATTGCTTTTCCACCAATCAGATCAGTTTGTTACAGATTTTTGCACTGTAATTACAGGAAATTGCATAGTGCCTACAGAAAATAATTGCACTGCTGTTTGGGATTAACTGCAATGAAATCAACCAATCACAATCGAATAATATTTTTATGTATACTATTATTCTTGTTAGAAGGTCGGGGTTATTTGAGATGGGAGGGGGCTTAATAGATAATTTACTGTATGAGAAGGGGAATATGTTAGTCATGATTTATTAACCATGAGATTACATACCTGTACCCTGCATGGCTTTTCTTAAAGAAGCATTTTTTTCCTATTTCGCGTATTTGAAATGAAAGACCTAAAATCGTTTTTGGCTGCCTCTCAAATTTAGTATGTTTTAATTTTATTTTCTAGTTCATACAGTTAGTTACCTTTTTAAATGGACTGTCGCCTAAGATACCATACTGATAAGATAATCGCAAAAACAACGAACTGCATATTTGCGTACTCGTATATGATCGTGAAACACAGATCACGTCACTAATGACAAACTGGCCGACACAACTCTGCAGTCGGCCCCAGAGCACCCCCCTACCAGATCATGCTGGATCCATCCCTGCACCCATGCAGGTTCTGCCTTCTCACCAGTACAATTGATCAAGTCGTACACATTCATTACTGCCAATCTATTTATTATTTATGTCTCATTACAATTGGTATGTACAATATATTTTCATTATCTTGTGCATCACCAGTATCATCACAACTTGTATTTCACTAGCATCATCATCATTATTCTCACCATTCTAATTTTATTTATAGTCAATCACAATGAATCAAAATTTCCTATCACACCACTCATATTACTTAATTGCCCAAGGTTAAGGCAATTTCACAGCA